GGGGGGGGGTTAGCTGTGTGTGGGGGGGCGCAAAGTGGAAGTTTTGCCTAGGGCGCAAAACTTCCTTGCACCAGCCCTGCTCCTGAACCCCAACTGGAAATGATTCTCAAAGAGGAAGAAAAGGTATCAAAATGAAGAACAGAGAACACAAATCACCTTTCTCCCCTCAGCTCTACTCACGCCAAGACAAAGGAAGCATCATTGAGCTCGCAGAGGTGTCTGACTCAGAGGAATCCAACCAGACTGCTGTAATCATATGGTGAGAGAAACTTTTTTGCTTTAAATTCACTTAGCTTGTTAAGTTAGGTATAAGTTTGTGTTTTACCTTTTATTTCTTTGTAACCAATTCTGGCTTTTATGCCTCATTATTTTAATCACTTAAAATCTATCTTTCTGTAGTTAATAAACTTGTTTTATTATTTTATCTTAACAAGTGTGAGTTTGGATTGAAGTGTTTGGGAAACTTCATTTGAGATAACAGGATTTGTGAATATCATATTCTATTAATGAAATGAGGGACTTTCTATGCTTGTATTGTCCAGGAGGGTAGTGGGCAGTACAAGGTGCACATTTCTGACACTGGGAATTTGCTGTATACTCTGTACTATAATTCAGGAGTGGCTGGCTGAGAGCACTTTTATAACTCAGCTGAGAGTAATTTATATGCTAGAGGCGGTGTATGAGCAGACCAGGAGTGGTTATTCTCACAGTGAAGCAGTGTAAAAAGCACCCCATGTTACAGAGTTGAGGGGACACCGCTGTTCAGCAGTCCAGATTGTGCACTGGATAATGTCATGCATGAATTAAGTGCTTTCCTGGGTCAAAGTTAACAAACTTTATAACAAAATTCATTAACAGAGCTCTACACCGGGGGTTTCAGCTGTTAGTTTAGTTGCATCAGGATAAGCCCATGTAAAAGCACTGTGAATTGTAATTTGCCCCTGTACAATTTATCTCTGCTTGAAACCAGAGTAAACTACATAGGTATAAATTGCAATGTGGTCCAGTAGATTGGGCATTGGACTGGAAGTCAGGAGATGTGGGCTCTATTCTTATATCTTTTACTAAACTGCTGAGTGACTTTAGGCGAATTGCTTTGCTCTGTGCCTTAGTGTCCCCTCCCAGGCTTGCTTTGTTTAGATTATAAACTCTTTGGGGCCTTAATTGTGTATACCATACCTAGCACAAGGGGGCCCTGATCTTGAGCCTGTAGCCATTATAAAAATAGCAGCTTTGCCTATCTATGCTAGGGGGTTGTAATAGTAACAGATGAAGGGCCAAACCATAACTCTTGGTGTAAATTGGCCTCAAATATTTTCAGAGAGAAGTTTAGTTATTAAATTGAAAGTGTCTCTCTAATTATTGTGTTTCCTTCTCAAATAGAAATGATTACATTCATCTCCAGATTGGGGATTAGAAAGGAATTTCCCCCAGGAATAATAGCGCTAGTGACTTTCATGAGGTTGAAGGTTGGTCTTTTGCTTGAACATTGAATAAGGATTATCTTCTAGGATTAGTTTCTGGAGCCTGTGTGGCAGAGAGCAGTGGGACCCACCTCACTCTTTTCCATCCCTGGAAACAGTGCAGACTATGCCCAAAGAAACTCCTGGGAAAGGATATGTAAACTTTCCTTCCTTGTCTATGCAGACATGACAGAATCTTTGACCAACTGCTACCAAAATCCACTTGTTTCTTTTTGTGGAAGGAGGCAATCTGTACCAGAGACAATGTACGAGGTATTTTAACAGTGCTCCTGATTGCGACTGTCAGAATTCCTCTGTGTTATTTAGCACATTTCTAATTTTGGCCCTAGCAACACACTTTTCCGCATTATTTAGAACAAAAAGTGTGAGTTGCTGCTATTTTCATCTAGTCTAAAAAAAACATTGAGGATCAGGAAAAGATGCTCACCTGTGCAACCTGTCTGCATAAAAGTCAGAAGTACAAGAGACTTGAGACGGCTTTTTTATTTTTTATTTAGATTTTATTACTTTCAATACATGCTAAATAATATACAGAATTGCCTGTCATAGACTAAAAACAGACTAGTCAATAAAGTGGAAATAGCCAATAGTCTGACAACAGGCACCAAAGTCAAAATTAGCAAGGTAGCAAAATAACAGTAATCTTCTCTCACAACTATTACAAATAGTTACATAGTAAAATAAGCAAAGAGTCCTGTGGCACCTTATAGACTAACAGACGGATTGGAGCATGAGCTTTCGTGGGTGAATACCCACTTCGTCGGATTCACCCACGAAAGCTCATACTCCAATACGTCTGTTAGTCTATAAGATGCCACAGGACTCTTTGTTGCTTTTACAGATTCAGACGAATACGGCTACCCCTCTCATAGTAAAATAAATTAGTCTGTACATCCCTACCTAACATTCCCTCAGAAGCCACCTTTAAGTCCTCCACATACCACTGGAGTCAGGCCCTCTGTATTTTATAAGTCTTTTTAGCTTTGCAGATATATTTTTTACTCATTTTTTGTATAGAGGAAGGATAGACCAGTGGTTAGGACTAACCTGGGATTTCGAAGACCTGAATTAAGTACCCTGTTCTGCCATAGACTGCTTATGTCATGTTTGGCAAATCACTCAGTCTTTCTGTGCCTCAGTTACTCGTTTATTAAATGAGAATATAGCACTTCCTGACAACACAAGGCTGTTTTGAGGAAAAATACATTAAAATACTGAGTGACTCTCAGATGCTATGGTAAGTATCTTAGGTAGATAGATTTGTTATACTAGCAGGAACTTACATTATTTGTTACAAGCATTTTCCCCCAAACCTTCTCATAGATTGTTACTAAACTGGGGAGGTAGTGTTCATTTTTTGTTTCCATGAAGGTAGAAACAAATTTGCTCTCCACTAGTTAGTTAACCAGCGTGTGTCAATACTGTAAAGGAGCTAAGACATTAGCTAAAGTTCTAAATGCCTTTAAATACCTCTTTAGCTCATTTAAAATATATTGCAATAACAACTAAATGGTCATTAAGCTGCTTATCATGCTTTTACCTTTCTGTCCTAGACGTCTGGTTTCTCATATTGGAAGAGGTCAGCATAAAGACGGCAACAATGTTCAGATAAAGTATATGGACCCCGTTCTGAAATCCTTATTAAGAGCTAAACTGTGACTTGCACTACATCCCCACAGAAGGGAGTTAGAGTCTCTAGAGGGTTCTAGGCACAATGGAGAAAGTAGGGCTGTGTGCCCGCTCTGGAGCAAGCAGGCTGGGAGGGAGCAGGCAGGGACAGGGAATAGGTGGAGAGTTGGCCCCAGTCTCGCTAGTTGCTGGCCAGCAGAGCTGCGTCAGCATGCAACAGGGGGAGGGGTGGGGTGGCATGGGGGTGTAGTAATTGTTGGCTGCTATAGGCCAGCAGTCAGTTACTACCCCCTGGAGCAAAAAGGAAGCAGGAGAGGCAAGGTGACTCAGAGGTGTTTCTGAGTCACTGTGCTGCTCAGGGCTACTCCTGGGGTGGTTCAGCTTATGTATCACCTCTTTCCCAGGGCTATGCCTGAAGTCCCAATCTAGCCCTAAATCACTGAACTCCTATGGGAGTTCTGCCTGAGTAGGGACGGAGAAGACTAATGGATTCTGAATATAGTAAAATTACTGCTACATGTTACTAATCTACAGTAGAATCTCAGAGTTACAAACACCTCGGGAATGGAGGTTGTAACTCTGAAATGTTCTAACTCTGAACAAAACCTTATGATTGTTCTTTCAAAAGTTTACAGCTGAACATTGACTTAATGTTGACAGCTTTGAAACTTTACAGAAGAAAAATGCTGCTTTTAACCATCTTAATTTAAATGAAACAAGCACAGAAAAAGTTTCCTTACCTTGTCAAAAAAATTTTTAACTTTCCCTTTATTTGTTTTGGTAGTTTACGTTTAACACAGTCTGTACTCTATTTGCCTTTTTTTTTTTTAATCTCTGCTGTTGCCTGATTGCGAACTTCTGGTTCCAAATGAGGTGTGTGGTTGATCAGTCAGTTTGTAATGCTGGTGTTCGTAACTCTAAAGTTCTACCGGAGTAACTTCTATCAGAGTCCAACTAACCCCATCACAAGAATAACTAAAACCAAATCAATGGCAAAGCAACGTGAACTGCTCTAGCTCGTCTGCTTTTCATTTTTGCGTAATGCGTGTAACACTAAATCTGCCACACAAGTTACAACGAGCCATTGGAAGCACAGGCATGTTGCAGGTCAGGACTGAGCAAGCGCTGTGTAGGGAGGGTGCTCACACTATATCTGGCTCCAGCACATATTATCAGAACTTTCATGAACAGGTGGTGTGATGAATCCACATGCTGCGTGCACACAGATTCATTAGTTGGTAGCTAACCCATACACATGCAGCATCAGGGATAGACCCCAGGAGCTCTGGCTTTAGAAACACAGAACTCTACTACTTGAGCTGAGATCTCTCTCAGCTGATGCCACTAGAAGAAAGTCCCGTCTCTTGAGAAGCCACTGGAGAGAGAGGGAGACTTGAACACACTGAGCCAGTACATTACACAGGGAAAGGAATGTTGAAGGTTGTACAATTAGCTAGTTACATTGCGGATTTTTTGTCTGAAGCATCACGTATTGGCATCTTTGAGGGACAGGATTCTGGACCTGCTGGTCTAATCCAGTATAGCAAACACTATATTCTTATGTGCTGTGCCTAGTCTCAAATAACCATGATGCATTCATTCTTCTAAATATTGAGAAAAGCTTTAACAACTAGAGTAGAACATTGGAACAACTGCAAAACTTATCTTTTCAGCAAACCTTCTCCTAAGAAGCTGATGGACAGAATCACCCCTGGGTGTGGGCTCCAGGTTCTCAGTCCCACTGTGGCTGCTTGGGCTTGTGCTCAGATGGCACAAAGCAGCCATAACACCAGTTTGACTGGCTTTCTGAGGATTCCCCTGGTATACCTTGGACGAAGGGGAAGGGGGTGATTGGATTGTTTGTACACATCAGCAACCCTTAGTTGTCGTAACTGCCTCTAAGGGGCTGTTTTAACTGAGAATAACCCTAAATTATGCCTCGGGACCAGCAACCCTAGGATCAAGGAGCCCTCCCTCCCTGAGCGACTCAAGCGTAATAAGGCCAGTCTTGAGGATCTGACCCACAACTGAGATTTGATGCTTCCTAAGTTGTTGCTTAAATCTGCCTGAGAAATAAGTAGTGCAGGAAATTATGATAATTAATACATAAGAAGTCCGTAATAGTATGGATGATTTAGGAAAGTTTTGGGGAATGAGACTATTTGGGTTCACTGTAGGTCCTTTCCAACCCCAATGATCTATGTAGGGCAGAGGTGTGCAAATTACGGTCTGTGGGCCACATCCAGCCCGCAGGACCGTCCTGCCCAGCCCCCGAGCTCCTGCCCCAGGAGGCTTGCCCCCGGCCCCTCCTCTGCTGTCCCCCGTCCCCTGCAGCCTCAGCTCGCTCACTCCGCCGCCGGCACAATGCTCTGGGCAGCGGGGCTATGAGCTCCTGGGGCAGCGCAGCTGCAGAGCCCGGCCTGACCCAGTGCTCTGTGCTGTGTGGTGGTGGCGGTGGCAGTGGCGTGGCCCGGCTCCAGCTGCCAGCCACTGGTGCTCCAGGCAGAGTGGTAAGGGGGTAGGGGGGGTTGGATAGAGGGAGATGAGTTCGGGGTGGTGGTCAGGGGGTGGGGGTGTGGATAGGGGTTGGGGCAGTCGGGGGGGGGAACAGGGATCCCAGGGGGCAGTCAGGAAGGAGGGGGGGTTGGCGGCAGGGGGCAGTCGGGACGGGGGTTCTGGGGGCAGTCAGGGGACA